CAGCTCTACATCTCCTTTTTTCCAACAACAGTGGATGCCGTTTCGTCCCTTGAGTGCTGCCTGGGGGCTGTTCAGCAATAGATGCAGGTGAATGGACTGAAGCTGAATCCGGGCAAGACGAAGGTCCTTTGGGAGGGTGCCCCAGACATCAGTGGTCTGGGAAACTCCCTTTCCTTTGGGGGGATGAATCTTACCCCCAAGAGTGAGGTTCACAGCTTGGGTGTACATCTGGATTCAGCACTCACCATGGAGACCCAGGTGTTGTCAGTGGTCCATTCCGCACAGTTCTACCTTTGGTGGATTGCCTAGCTGTATCCCTATCTTGATGTGGGGGTGCTGACCACTTTGGTCCATGCGCTCGTAGTCTCAAGATTAGACTACTGTAATGCGCTCTACGTGGGGCTGCTTTTGAGACTGACGCAGAAACTTCAGATGATACAAAGTATGGTGGCCATATTACTTACAGGGGTGAAAAGGTACCAACGTATTTACCCACTCTGGCTGCCTTGCATTGGCTGCCCATTTGTTTCCACTTTGATTTCAAAGTTTTTACAATTACATATAAAGCCCTAAAAAATTTAGGACCTCAGTATCTGGCAGAGCGCCTTCTCCCTGCCAGTTCTGCCAAAGTAACTCATTCCAGCCAGGCTGGACAGCTGAGGGGCCTAATGCCGAGAGAGGTCCAGAAGGAAAGAATGAGGAACAGGGCCTTCTCGGCAGTGGCCCCTCGTCTTTGGAACAACTTGCCAGTGGAGATCCACCTGGCTCCCTCTCTGGGCGTTTTCAGGAATAAACTTAAAACCTGGCTTTTGGGGCAGGCTTTCCCTCCTGCCATATCGTAATTTCTTATACTTCGCCGCCCTGGACCTATAATATATGTTTTGGTTTTGTTGTTTTTAAATTTGTAAATCGCCCAGAGTAGACCTTGGTCTAGATGGGCAGGATAGAAATCCAATAAATAAATAAATAAATATACACACGCAAACACCAAGGACTAGCCATCATGGTATGTCCACTTTCTGTTTACAGGGATTATTCCGTCATTCCACATTGCAGATATTCATTGAGAACAACCAAACTATTTGCATAAGGAAAGTGAGCCCGCTGCACTGCAGAGGAGCAATTCACAGGAACAGCCTTGACATAAATATTGAGGCTTTTATGTTGGCCATGGAGTAAAAATCTGTACAAAATGAAGACTGTGACTGAACACCAATCCAAGCTCAAGAAAAAGTGCTAACCAACAGAGACTCTGTATTTACCCCTAGATTGGAATGAATGGTCAGACCAGAACGGGAAATTAACTAAACTAATAGGCAGGATATTGAAATAAATTGAAATAAATTGAAATAAAAATAAAAATAAAACAAAAGTCTTTGGAAAGGTGAAGAGCCCCTGATCTATAGAAGATGTCCCTAGGCCTACACTTTGCAAGGCAAACAAGCAGATGTGAGACACACAAACCCTATGCAGTCCCAAACAACAGCAAACAGTGCAAGGAAAGCAAGCATTAATTAACAAGCTTGGAGTTGCATTTGTTAATGTCTAGTGCAAAAACAAAAGGTAAATTCACTGCAGCTTAAAGAAACCCACAAAACAAAACAGTTTTGTATATACAGACAAGAAGTAGAAGGCTGCGACTGTTCTCCCAGAAAAAGTTGTACAATCATGTACAAAGTTGTACAAAAGTTGTACTATCAGCCAATCATGCAGTTTTCTGCCTCTGCCCCAATCAGATCTGATGACCTTGTTAGATGCCACAATACTGCCCTTGTGCACAGGTCGACCCCAAGCAAATGGCAACCTTGACCTTGATAGGCTGAAATTAGGACATTTCTGCAGAGAGCCACACAATGGCATCCTGAAATCTGATCTCTGAAATACTGGTTGCAACCCTGTTGCTTTGTTATACATGCAGAAGGCAAATGGTGTATCATCCAGTCCTTTCTAGCTGGCAGCTAATGAGTCCCCCCTGACATTCTCAAGTGTGCACCAAACAAGCAGGTGCCTCCTCCCGCCCCCCAAGAATGCCAGTGATGATTCATTAATTGCCAGTTAGAAGTGACTAAGGTTTATGTCATTTACTTTCTGCATGTGTGACAAAGCAGAAAGATTTCAGCCCCTCTGTCAACACTCCAGTGAAATGATTCATGCAGTTGAAGCCAATATTAATATATTATCCTGACTCTATTACAGAGCTCTGTAATACAGGAAAACAGGCCCTGTTTCATAGTGTTGGGAACATAAGGCTTTGCAGCAAGTAGAAGCACACAGCTATTTCCCTGCCTACAATGCAAGGGGGTAAAGCCATGTCATTAGCCTAATAAAACAGGAAACAAATCTGAACACTTAGTACCAATTAATGGAATGAATGATGACCCTGAGAACCCTGTTATGTGAAGGCTCGGGTGGACAGAAGTTGAACATTACTTCCATTATATGCGCTGCTAGAAAGGAAGGATATTGCATTACTATTAGAGACATTTTGTATATTATAGTATGAAAAAGATGGAAGAACGGCTTGCCTGAAAATAGTGTAATTGTTGAAAAATGTAGTTAATGTTACTGTTGTGTCCTAATGCAGATTTTGGAGCTCAGAAGAAATCTAAGTGGTTATGATACTCAAAGTTCATTAAAAACCTCTTATGTTCCTCTCAAAGAGAATTAAACTAAAGAAGAACCCACAGAAAGGCTTCTGCACTCATCAGCTTTCACAGACACTCTTGATTACTTTAAATCATTATTTCTTTTATGCCAGGAGAAGATAGATGTTTTTGAGCATCGCAGTCTCTCTAGTGGTTAGTCAAAGCACAATAATTTGAAATGTTCATTTAGTTCAATTTAGGGATTGGTTTGACTACATTATCCGATGTACCTTTTAAAAGTGCTTATGGGAAGACCTTGAGGCACAGCATAAACAATGCTGAGCTGTGCTGTGAGAAGGCATGAATATTCATTGTAAATGCTTTACATTGTAAATGCTTTATTATGACATTTTGCTGTTTTGTCCCTTGATGCATTAATAAAGGTGAAGCTGAGTCTCGTGTAGTTTTTATTTAATGTCTGCTTTACAATCAAACATACAAAGATGTAAGTTAAGTAGCTACCTCAAGCAACCAATCTGGGGCTCTGTTTTACTGAAACACTAAGAGATGATCTCATCGGGCACAATCTATTGCAAAATTATTCTGAAAAAATTGAAGTGAAATGATCTGAAACTCTACAACTCCTTATTTCAACAGGGCCTGTGAATACTTTCTGATGGTTCCCATTGCAATGTAATTCATTGGAGGGAAGATATGATTCAATTCTTCAAAGTCAATCATTTTGATGTCTGTTTTGAGTGCCAGAATTTCTTGGGCCAACTTTACCATTCACTACAATAATCTATAGGCTCAATACAGTAACATTCTTCAAGAATATCCTATTCTTGCAACAACCTTTCCCAGCCTAGTGTCCTCCAAATATCTTGGATTGCAACACCCATTATTCCATTCAGCATGGACAACTGCTAGGGATGATGGCAGGTGTCATTTAAAACATCTGTTGATCAGCAAATTAGGGAAGGGTGTGACACACCTGACTGAGACCACTTTATGGTCCATTTGCAAAGAGAAATATATTGTTGTTGTGCTATCTGAGTGGTAGACAAAAAGGGCCCAGAACATGAGACCAGTCCTGCACCAGAAGGTAAGAATGGGTTATACAGAGAGCACCAGCCATATGAGTCTTTCATGACAATCAGCCTCAAACCCAAGAGCATCTGCAGGAATTTTTCAATAGGGTGGACAAAACTGTGTAGTGGTCTGACAGTGTAATTCACATGCATAATACATATCACTCACTACTACACAGTTGGCAAAATCCTGTCCATGCTGTGTAACATAAAGTTACACTGGTGTAAAAGTGCCAGGTGTTATGCTCAACAAGAAATTGTGCTATTCCATTGCAAAATTGGGTACACATCCCTAGCTCAATCAATTGCACAATGCGCTGGCATAAGTGCTTCATGGATAACACTTCCGCCAAAGTACTTTCACAGCTACCATGGGCACAACCTCAGGTTTCATGCGTATAATTGTGCAATACTCTAGAAGCAGCAACAAAAGCGAGATGTACGTATCGATAGATAACCAGCTGGTAGATTGCAGGAGGGGCACTCCAAAGTCAGAGGGTTGTACATACCTACTTCTGAATCTTGGAGGATCATATTTGCCAACCACCCAACCACCCCTTTCTTATTTTGAAAATATGTATTTACTGAAAAACCACCCTCATATCCTGTAGCAGCTATACTCTTCAAAATCCCCACAATGTTACAAAATTTTGGAATCACATGGAAGTGCAAAGATGGTTGTTCTTTAGTCGATACGTCGTGTCCATCCCCTCGTGACCCCATGGACCAGAGCATGTCAGGCCCTCCTTTCTTCCACTTTCTCCAGAGGTTTGGTCAAATTAATGTCGGTAGCTTCAATTACACTATCCAATCATCTCGTCCTCTGCTGTCCCCTTCTCCTCTTGCCTTCATGGATTGCCGCCTTGTCGTGGCGAAGGGGTGTGAGTAATTCAGAGAAGCTATGG